AATATACTCCGATATTGGATAAAGATACTTAAACAGAATGACTCCTCAATTGTAAAACAATCATACCTTCTCCTCAAATCCGACACGGACTCCGGTCGTAATTATGGTGGAAAAAATTGGGCCTCTTATGTTAAAGATATTCTATCAAGTAACGGATTTAGGTATGTCTGGGATAACCAATTTGATATTGAAATTCCGATTAACTCTATAAAACAAAGATTATTGGACACATATATGCAGAAATGGTATACCGAAATTAATAATTCTTCAAGATTACAAACTTATTGTCTATTTAAACACAATTTTGTTAGGGAATTATATTTAGACTCCATACATGAAAATAAATACAGAGTAGCACTTACTAGGTTTAGAACCTCTTCACACAATCTTTTTATTGAAACAGGAAGATATGATAATACCCTACGTGAAGACCGAATATGTAAATCATGTAACATGAGAAAAATTGAAAATGAATACCACTTTCTGCTTGTGTGTCCACACTATAGAGAGCTTAGAATAAAATTTTTTAAACCTATATATTGTCATTGGCCAAACATGTATAAATTTGATAATCTTTTATCATCTAGATCAAAGAGAACATTGTTGGCATTGTCTAAATTTTTGTATTTTGCAAATCAGAAACGTATTTCTTGATCACACATAACCATATAACAATATGGACGACATTTAGCAATTTAGGATGTATGAAAATCTAGAATTGTTTATTTTTCTGGCAAATATTTATACTCTCTGGAAAATTGTTCTGTTTCTCATTGTATGTATATGTTTATTTGTATTTCTATGGCTATAAACATTGTACTATGTTTTATGCTTAATAAAGTTCGTATTCGTATTCGTATTTATGCTCGACACTCGGACATCAGTTCGGATTTATGTTTTACACCGTTAAACATCAGCTTATTATTTTTACATAATATTCAAGTTTCGTTAAATTTGTTTTCAAGATACTTGTGCCTGTAATAATAAGTAGACAATATTTGATCTCTTGTAGGTTTCTTCCTTTTCAGTCAATTAACTATATGTATCATATACAATACAAATCAAAAACTATCATTCATAAAGAAATCATACAAGTAATGTATGTGTATCTGAAATTATCTATATTATAAAGTACTAATACATTTCATGTAGATATCTGAAAATGAAATTAACCAAATTTGATAACAATATAGATTTATACCATCTAACAGAACAAGACGAAGTAATATTTCTTCATAATCATTCTTACAAATGATTAATTATGTTTCCCAAATTTTTGGGAGACATATTGTTTTTGCCTTCACCGTCTGTCTGTCTGTCCGTACGAACCCAGTGGTACTTTTGTGACTTGGAGAACTGCTTCGCTTCACAAAATGGCCGCCAGAGCAATAAATAGAAAAAAATTGTCTGGCTTTCACAGGTCAAACTTGTGGTGGGATTTCAACCAAACTTTACAGGAGTGATCAGTACTATCCCTAGTTGTGCATGTCACCGGCATGTTTTGCTTTGCTGCACAAAATGGCTATCAGACATTAAAGTAGAAGCTCTTGTCTGGCTTGCACAGGTCAAGCTACTGGTGGAATTTCAATGAAACTTCACATGAGTGACCATATATAGTTTTGGAAGACATATGTTTTTTGTTACTAAAACTCTTCTAGTGTAAAGTTGGGAAGTGTATTTATCATATATTAAGTAATTGCAAAGGCACATGAAGAGTACATGAATATTTTACTAGAGATCATGTTTTTCTAAAACAATAATATTACTTACTTATTGTATAGAACACAACTAATTGACAATTTTATAATTGAAAAGTATTATCAAAAACATTATAAGTAAATTATTTCTTAAACATATTACATTTAATTTACAAGAATACGTTTTTTCTGCAAATCTTAATGTTCATCTTCAATCTGTTAACGGTACTAAATTTTTTGTAACATATAATTAACATGTAAAATGTAGCAACTAACTATTTTAACCTAATGTGGAATAAATGCACAAAGTTTGTAACTAAGTAAGATATAAAAAATGTAATAAATTGAACAAAATAGAAAATAACATACCTGTAATAATAAGTAGACAATATTTGATATCTGGTAGATTTATTCCTTTTAAGTCAATTTACTAAAGTGACTTATCAGAGTACTGTCTTGCCAAATACCTTGATGTATAGATTTTTATTTCCTATTTTAGATTATTGATAAATTTTAGGTAAGTTATACATAGCATAACATAACTTTTATTCGACATTAAAATTTTAACAACAAAACTATATCGATTTACATCAAATAGTGCAACATTGAGACACGTGGTTTCCTAACCTAGAAATACATATATATGTTTACACAGAAATGTTCATTTCATGACGAATGTCAATCATATTAGAATACAATATGTATTTGGTAATTATATGTAGATAACACTCTGCAAGTGTGAATCGGTTATTTTTGTGCGAGCTGTTTCCCTTTCCATTCAAAAATTCTTATCCCGCTTATAGTCAAAACAGTACCGCAAAATATTGTAATTTGCAGCTATAAACATTACTTTATTTACTTTACGCCATTCAGATCTTATTGTTACAATTTATATGATTAATTCTGGAGCATATTACCTTGACGAAAGTCAAGATATTTTAAGATATGAAACGCTGGTACTATATTTCGAGATAATTGACTAATTTATGTCAGCCTTTCGAAGATTTCAAAACTTAAGACTGACAATATAGGTATATGGGGATTCACAATGGACCATATCTTGTCAGCTTATTGCTAATATTACGACCAGCTTGACACATGTTTCATTACATAAGTCACATACAAAAACAATGTGCATGTTTAAATAGTGCAAATTGTTATAAGGCATGTAACGTACATTTACAATGTACAACATAATACAAATTATACAAAGCATGTTAGTTTAATATAGAAGTTTAAATTTTACATTGAATGATCTTAAGACGTTTTTTGAATGCACAGAAATAAAAGTGTGTGCTATACTGTCAATAACACATTTCATTTGTATTTATAACGTATTTTTTCGAAAATACAGAAAATGTTTGTTTGAAGCAAACAAACATAACATTTCTTGTTTTCTTTTCTCACGGAAAAATCTGTTGTCAATTACTGCCTTGTCTTTCAAATAACAATAATTGAAGAATGTATGAACCTGTTGACAAGTAATTTGAGAATATTGAATTATATTGAGGGGTTATCTAAAAATTACTTAATAACAGAAAAGTGCTGAATTGATAAATTAGTAACATTTTATTTCTACATACATACCAAACTAAAATTAACTTATATAGTACTTGTTGACAGCTTACAAAGTTTGAGAAAAGTAACTTCCTGACAAAAATAATTATGTATTTGTATTTCTTTATATATAAATGCCATTGTATACTACATGTAGTTATTCGCAAAGCATAAGCGTTATGTACACAATTAAGTTTGACATATTTTGCAACAGGTATTTTTGTGTAAGCTGGGTCACAATTGTTTGCTTAACTGCTATTAATTAATATGCTATCATATATAAGTCGTGTAATACAGGCATTGTTTGATTCCCCGCGACTCTGTAAAATCAGTATTGCACGACCGTGCATATATTATATGCGCCAATTGTTAGCGTTACACTATAGGCGCATTAATAGCAAAAAAGGATTATTGTCACTGTAAACAGTTCTTATGTTGGTTATGTGATAAATTTTATTCGTGAAGATTCATTACTTGATTGATTGAACTTATTGATGAAAATAAAATGCTCGCTAGAGGCTCGCATAATGTATTTTGATATAACTTGTTCAATAAATTCAGTATTGAATCTACACTTAGTAATTATCCTCTGTTTATAACAAAGAAAATTTCCACAATGTTTAATATATAGTTGTGTTTATAACATAAAAACATTAAACTAAAAAAGACAACAGTATCTTTATTTGAGATATACTGACTTTTCATTAAAAAATCCGTCCACTATAAATGTTTGTGATTTTGCTCCTACAGCCAACCAAGAAATAAGCCTGATAAGAATTAATTTTCTTTTATTTGTGTGTGTGTGTGTGTGTGTGTGTGTGTGTGTGCGTGCGTGCGCGCGTGTGTGTGTGTGTGTGTGTGTGTGTGTGTGTGTGTGTGTTTGTGTGTGTGTGGGGCGTGTGTATATGTTGAATTTAATGTATATACAATGATTAGTCACATTTACAATAAGCTCATAAAAACATTAGACATTAAGTATAAAATAACAGGCAGAACAGATGCAACAGATAGCAAGTGGTCATGTATAGAAAATGTCCAAGCTTACATGCAGACTCAGTTGTGTTTACTTGTTATTGTTATTATTTGTTTGCAAGTTTTATGAAGACACTGCCCCGGTTTTATCCTAGATAGAACACAAAATCGCGTATCAAATAACACTTCACAAGTTTTGTCATCTTTAAAAAAGACATTGTGCAGCATTGTGCATTGAGCCTATTTTTGCACACTCGGGGTCTTTAAAATAGTATGTTTCTATAACATGAGCGCTGTTGCAACATGGATTTCAAAGTACAGCGTACGTGTAGAATGTTTATGCAAATAAACAATTTGACTTAACTCGACTAAAATACAACCGTTATCCAACTCAAAGACCTTGTTATGCGTAAAATGTAAGCATACATGGATCTGATCCATAAACTTGCATCTCATCATAAAAATGCATTAAAAGGTCGGGGAACTTGCTGGTCCAGTATCGTAAATAACCATCCGGATAGCTTCCAAACTCTGTTCTTACACCTGGCTGCAACTCATTATAATGACCTTTGATGTCATTGTTTCGTATAGCCCGTAATAAAGACGGTACAGATGTTTCGTCATATTGTGGTTGGTTCTGATTCCTATTGCGGCGGTTGTGTACAGCTTTAGTCGAAAATAAATAGTTTTCAATTGGAGTCGTTAGATACACACGCCAGTTTCCTCCTCTTAAAACATTGACTGAATTGTTTTCTATTGTACAAGTCCGGGATATTGAACGTTCCATCAACAAGATACTTGCATAATAAAAAAGTCCAGAATTCTTTCACAGCTCCATAGTGCAGGGTGCTTCCATATATCCTCGGTAAATGGTCTGTCATCTGGTTTTGGCTTTAACATGCGTGTTAGTAAGTTAAAAAATGGTTTATTACTATCAACATCTGTATAATCTGCATTTCCTTTTTGTATATCCTCTTGAGACCTAAATACGTAATGACCGTCGCTTACAATGAAATAAAAGATGAGACCAAGTGGAAAAATATCACTTCTTTGCCAGAAACTTCTTTCCAAGTCGAGGATCCCAGGTCTACGCATGTCATATATCTCTGGGGCTAGCCAATCCACAGTTCCGTTTTCTGTTTGACTATGTAATTTTAACAAGCCAAAGTCGGATAATTTAAAGAGAAGCTCGTCATCGCTCCTCTGTTGTAAGAGAATATTTGACGGTTTGAGGTTACCATGGACAATTTGTCGTGAATGCAGGTACTGGAGCCCAAATAATATCTGAGAGATTATCTCCTTGTTTGATATATTCGTGGGTAATTGTGTCGAGATTGTATATATTCCTCTCAGTTACAGTCGCACAGTTCTAATGCCAAAAGTAAGTGTAACGTATTTTCGCCAATCTCAAACTCGTAACAAAAAAACCTGGAGCCTTCTCTAATGATGTCATGGTTGATGACGCCAACAGCAAGTCTTAACCTTTTTAAGAGACTTGCAAGGTCTGTATCAATTTGTACAGCGTCATTACGACAAATTTTTACTCTCTTCAGAGCAACATCAACTTTCTCTTCAAACTTTCCTTTGTAAATGGAAGCAGTACTATTGGCCAAACGAAGTCTATCATTTCTACTGTATATTACACTTCGGAAGACAGGTGGTGCTGTCTGATTATTATTTTTGTTGGTCATAATCGTTATATTTGTCCTGTTGATTTTCATATGTAGAAAGTGGCCGGTTTCTATATGCAACGAGTGCTACTACAAGAGCTGCTAACCCAACAAGACCTCTAAAGATCAAATCTTCTATCGGCATGATTTATGTTAACAATACAGCATTTCTTCATTTACCTGAATGGTACATATGAAAAGATTTGTAACATTATTCATGGATAATAATTTTTTTTTAAAACCTTATAAAGTCAGAACTAGCTAATGTAGTGTTACACTACACAGGTTGTGTGATTAGACAGGTAATCATTTATATTAAATTGTTTGCATATCTAGAGTATAAACATTTTTTTCTTTACGCTACTAAAATGATACAAAAGCGAAAGTATAATTCCGATTAAAGGGTTATAACAAGAGCGCGTGACTATGTTAACACATGGTTTTGGTCCCGTTATAACATGGGCAAAAGAGGGAAAAATAGCCGATTTTATGCTATAATCTTGGTTGTCGCCCTTTCTAAGAAATGGACAGTTGTCAATGTAAACAAACAAATATCTGTCATTCAATTTAACCCTCCGATTTACTTACAAAACAAGATAACACAAAATGAATATGAGAAAATGTTGTTTTTTTATGTTTACACAAATGATCTTTATATTTCTTTGAGAGAATAATGTTAAGTGCCTGATTTTTTTTATAAACTTGTATGCTTGAAAGAAAAATTCTGATGTCACTGATCTGTTTTCTTGCGCCAATCTGAAATCATTCTAGGAATTTCTGGAGTCATGTTTTGCCTTGGGTAGAGTAATTTAATGTTGTTTTTTTTCCTTGAGTAAATAAATCTCCGATGTTAAGCTTTGTTTAATCAATTAAAAATCGATATTTCGTTCGGTTCTGATTGAGCATTTATAAGTATTCCAAAAGTTGTTGGCCCCGGAAAAAGAAAACGCATACATAAAACATGTAGAATGGGATAAATACCGTCCAAGCACAAGGATTTAATATATGTGTTTTGTATTAAATATACATCATGAATCTGTTTTAAAATCTTATGCTATAATAGCGTCAACTCACGTTTATTTCGTGTTATAAAGTCTGCAGAGTCACTCGGAACTGTTGGAACCAACCGTTCCTCGGGACTCTGCAGACGTTATAACACGGAAAAACATGCGTTAACCCTATATTGATTATACGATCGATATACCTTAATATATATTAATTGATACTGTCCTAGGATGATAACTTGAGCCTTTGTTTACATAACAAAGACCAATAACAATGCGAAAAATAGGTTAGGCAGATCAATGCCACAACCTATAAAATTGAAAATAAAACTACATGTTATCATATGTCTTGTTAGCGCAGTAAGTAGAGCAACCGTGTCAGTAATGTGTTTTACCCGTACATGCAGAAGTTCGACTACTGGTAAGACACAATTTTTTTTTTACCTCAGAACAGTCAATTGTTCAGAAAACAAGTTTGACCGGTTTTTTCATATACATTCATGAATATGATATGAGATCGAATATTTTATTACACTGCGATAAAAAAAAATACAAAAAAAAAAATAGAATGGAAATAAAAAAATAAATATATACAATAAAATATATATTATAAGATGAAAACAAAAAGGAAAACGAAAAAGAAATAAATAATAATGATAAAAACAACAGAGTAAGTAGAAAAAACTGTGGTTATAAAATGGCACTAAGTAGGGTTCGAACCTATGAGTACAAAACACTAAAAGTTACAATTTCTTCGATCTACAGGCAAAGCCATAGCGGTAATACACAAATGATTTTGTAAGAATAATCCTATATAGCATATGTAAGTGTTCACTTTTATGATATCGGATAATGATTCAGCTAACCCCGTTTTTGGACTTTCCCATGTACCGTTAAGACCAAATTATCATCCTAGGACAGTATATATTAAACTTTTTTAACGTAAATATTGACTTTATATTTTGTATATTAAATTTGAAAAATGACAATTGCAACCACCAATCGATCTATATATACTATTCAAAATTGTTGATGAGTAATCATCGCATGTTTACACTGCACCAGCGTCAGCTCTTTCATTCTTTTCTGATATTGTTTGGGAAATTTATGTTTGTGTTTTTCCCTGTCATAATGCGGCTTTTCAATTTATTCCTTCAATGTTCAGAATATACTTTCAGTCCCACGAGGTATTTATAACTATTGGTTGCATTTTTGATTTAATATTAATTTACGAAGAGGTTTGCAGACCGTCATATCCTGATATGTTGTAAATGTATATAACTTCAAGTGGTTCGATGAAACCCAGGCAGTTGACAGCAGTTTCGTTTTTAAAACAACATTTCTGGAACGTGTCTTTATACTATTGTTGTTATTGGTTTATACAGTGTTTTAATATTGTCTTGATGCTATTTATCGGATATGTCGTAAGCATTTCCTTGAGAAAAAGATTTGACGTCACCAAAACTTTAAAGTTTTACTCATCCATTACTTTTTATTCAAACAGTTATAGCTATCTTACGCATTGACCCTATATTTTTATCGCATTTATATTTTCTTTCACAATTTCACTGCATGCTGAAAATTATAGCGATATTCACGGTCTTGAAATTTTCTTATTTCACAATTGTTATTGCGATACTGCACGATATTTTCAACAGACGTATACGTAAAATCGGAGATAAATTAACCGTAGAACCGCAAAATATGCAACAAAATTTTCAGAAATTATTTTTAAATAAAAAGGCAAACGTGTATTGAACATTATAAGATTTAAACGACGAAAATAGAATCAAACTTATAAATCGGACCGTTTTATTAGTAAAAACGCAATTTGGCCGCCGACGATAGGGGCGCTTTGACTTCATATTAACGTTCTATATTTATTAAATAATGATGAAGAAATAAAGCTTACATATCTACATGTTTGCATACGATAAATCATCAAAATCTGAGATGTTGTCAAATTTTGTCCGGGGTCTTGTCCGTCGTCCGTCCGTTCGTCCGTAAACTTTTACTTTAAACAACAACTTCTCATAAACCGCTAAGCTAATTTCATCCAAACTTCACAGGAATGTTCCTTTGGCAGTCAACTTTAAAAATTGTTCAAAGAATTTAATTCCGTGCAGAACTCAGGTTGTCATGGCAACCGAAAGAAAAAACTTAGAAATCTTCTTTTAAGAAACCGAAAGAGCTAGAGCATAAATATTTGGCATGAAACATTGTCTAGTCGGTGTCTACCAAGTTTGTTCAATTAAAAGCCCTAGGTTGAAAATTAGCCCCGCCCAGGGGGTCATTGATTTTCCTTTATATCATAATAGTAAAAAACTCAAAAAATCTTTTTTTAATACCCCAAAGAGCTAGAGCTTAGATATTTATCATGAAACACCTTCTAATGGGTGTCTACTAAGTTTCTTCAAATAAAAGCCCTTGGGTTAAAATTGACCCGCTCTGGGAGCCTATATACAGTTGAGCGATTTCAGGGTCATCATGGCCCTCTTGTTTATTTATATTTTCAACAATATTGTATGGTCTTTCATGTTGTTCGTTTTGTTATAATATGTTTGCAAATATTTTGGTTACGTCGATACTCTTTTTTTAATGAAATGGTTTATGAAATTCATTCCAGTAATTTCCATTTCAACGCCAAAAAACACAATTCTAATCGAGACAAAGAGTGCTTCAAATCCTTGAGCGTCCTATCATTTCCATTAAAATATACTTCAAAAATAAAGAACTAGTAGGTCTGAAAAATGACAAATAGTAAGGATTGAACCATAAACCTCTGGTATGTATAAAACAATCACTGCGACTGAGCTATTGCGGATGTGACGATGACCTTGACATAAAGCTGGTTAGTTTTATTCTCCATATTAATCTCGTAAACTACGCGAACAAAACCAACTGGGATCGAATATTTAAATGAGTGCTATAATGAGTTTATAACTGACAGGCCAATAAAAATAGACTATAGGAATGGACCTTTGCGTGTGATAGTCTTAGATTTACTCCATTGTTAAAGAAAAAGTATTTAATCTTCAATATCTGGGAAGAAAAGCATAATAATATGAAAATTGCAGACTCGGTGTAAATGAGTCTGTGCCTGAAGGATAATGACAAGGAACGACATCCCCCACACCCCCTAGTATCGGCTAGGGCGGACCTCAACTCTGTATTATGTTCTTGTCTGTGTACCATTTATTTCATGGATAAGATATCGTCCATTTGGTTGTTATTCGAGACAAATAGCTGATTAATGAAGTCGGCTACAAGCAGACGAAGTGAAAGAGACAAGATTGTCAGACATACGTTTAATCACAATATTACCAAAACAGACTTCATTTTTGGGTGTCAAATATACATTCATTATACAATATCAAAATTTTCACCCTCTGTTTTTGTTTACATCTAAATCCACGTGTTAGAAGTTAAATTTAATGTATATATTATAATGATTAGTCACATTAACAATAAACTCATTAAAACATTAGATATTAAGTATAAAATAACAGGTAGAAGTAAAGACCAGAACGGAACTGTTGCATATGTGACTGCAAAATGTCCTAGCTTAAATGCAGACATTTGTGTTTACTTTTACAAGATATAGGTTTTAGATATAGGGTCCGCCTGGGCTCCTTGCCATTGGTTCTTATTGCTGGGTCACATGGGGGTTGCGTTCATTGGCCGCCTTTCCTTGTTGATCTTGTTTATCATATTTTATTGATTTTTTCGTTTTAGTCTTGCAAGGTTTATCTGCTTTTTAAAGAGACTGCCCAAGAAGTTTTATCCAAGATAGAATACATCCCATAACACAGCTCATGTTATTTCTCTACTGTTTAGGAAAGACATGGTCAAGAATTTCATGAATTAAATCGAGCGCTTCGCAGAAATACCGTGTACTCGGCCAATATTCTTTACTTATCTTGTTTATAATTCGTGTCCAGTTTTTTTCATGAAAGAACTATTATGAAAACCATCTATAATAATTTTCATTTGTGAGGCGTCATATTGGTAATTTTCTCAAATAATGATGTCGCAATTGAAAACACCCCTATCATGTGACAAAAATTATATTTAATGTATTTGAAAACTGTTGAAAGAAGGCAAGTATGTGATATATGCAAAGTGATTCCAGAGCTATGAAATATTTGTGGATACATTGTAAAAATATTTTACATTTCAGCTGATTAGTGGAAATGGAATGGAGCTTTTCAGATTTGTAGACGAGTTGTGTGATCAGTCAGAGGACGTTGTAAAGACAAATGAGCCGCGTCACGACAAAACCAACATAGTGGGTTTGCGACCAGCATGGATCCAGACCAGCCTACGCATTCGCGCAGTCTGATCAGGATCCATGCTGATCGCTATCAGTTTCTCTACTTGTTATAGGGTTTGTAAGCGAACAGCATGGATCCTGATCAGACTGCGCGGATGCGCAGGCTGGTCTGGGTCCATGCTGTTCGCAAACCCACTATGTTGGTTTTGTCGTGACGCGGCTCAAATGTACAAAGTCCTCATATTACTTTATGTAATACTTGGACAAACACATAGACCAAATTAGTGCTCTAAAGTTACCTCATATCTTTTTGCACTAAGGCATCATTTATGCTCTGAAATGAGTGTTTGATGTTTTTCTTTTTTAATTCTAAAAATGAGTGTTATGTATTATTTAAATCATGAAAATGAGTGTTGTGCGTCATTAAGTTCTGAAAAAGAGTGTTTTTAGCTGCGTATTTAACTTGGAGGTAAACAATATACATGTATACTGTAGAGGCTATTATTATTATTTAATCAGACTATCAGAAGAATATTGCTCTTGCATGCTACATGCTGAATAATAATTTGGCATTTATATTTGATATTACGTAACCTGCTGGAACCAAAAGTAATTAACCTTTGCCACCAGTATAGAGCCAGGCTAGCCTAAACATCTGTGCAGTCCTATCACATGTATCAGGCTCTATACTGTTGTTTTTTCAATTTTTGTATTTTGATGTTGAAGTCCCTTAAATTTTGAATGGACTGTTCAAATTAAAAGCTGGGAAAACTCAATGGTTTTTAGGGTTTATATAATTTACCCAGAATGGTGATAAATATTATTGAAAAAAACACTGTAAAGACTCCCACGCTTTTATGTATAAAGCATGTGTTTTATGTATAAATCATGTGTTTTTATGCATAAATTATGTGTTTTATGTATAAATCATGTGTTTCATGTATGAATCATGTGTTTACGTATAAATCTAGTGTTTTATGTGTAAATCATTCATTTTATGTATAAATTATGTGTTTTATAATAAAAATCATGTCTTTTATGTTTAAATCATGTGAATACTTGATTGTTTTTGTATCTTTATCACTTTGAAGACTGATGGATTTAAATCAGTTCTGGCTTCATACGATTAAACATGGTGGTGTCCAAATTAGGGTTAAGATCCACAACCCTTTATAACAGCGAAAGACACTGTAACCACTTCATTTCTGCTCCACACTTGGACAACAGTTTGGATTTATGTTTTACACTGTTAGGATATCAAATTATTATTTTGGTAATATCCAAGTTGTGTAAAATTTGTTTTTATGATACTTGTGCCTGTAACAATAAGTAGACAATATTTGATCTCTGGTAGGTTTATTCCTTTTCAGCCAATCTACCATATGTGTCAAATACTATACAGACATAAAACATCATTCATAAAGAAATCATACATGTAGTGTATATGTATTTGAAATTATCTTTAAAGGATTCAATAGTTATACTAAAACATTTAATTTAGATATTTAAAACTGAAATAAACCAAATTTGATAACAATAAATATATACCAACTGACAAAACAAGATGAAGTAATATTTCTTCATTATTATTATTCTTAAAAATGATTTATTTAAAGTTGGGAAGCATATTTATCATATATAAAGTAATTGCAAGGCACATGAAAAAAGAACCGGGCTGGTTTACTAGAGCTCATGTTTTTCTAAAACAATAATATTAAAAAAGCATTTTTTGACAATATTAAATTTGAAAAGTATTTACAAAAATATGCATTAGAATGATTAGAAGTAAACATATTACATTCAGAGGCAAACATACATATAACATATTTCTTACACAATAAGTCTGTTGATATTTTGCACATTTTGTTTTGTATGTTAACAAACTCCTCACAAGTTTATACATATGTATCTTTCTATATTTCTGTTACATGAGCGCTGTTACAACATTGGTTTAAAAGCATGTAAAACTACATCTCCCTGTAAAATCTACGCATCCTTGGATCTGCTCTATGAACTATCATCACATTATAAACATGCATCAAAAGGTCAGGGAACTTGCTAGTCCAGTATCGTAAATAACCAGCCGGATAGTTTCCAAACTCTGTTTTAATATCTGGCGGCAACTGGTCATAATCCTCTCTAATGCCATTGTTTCGTATGGCCTGTAATAAAGACATCACAGATGTTGCGTTATAACCTGGCTCCCTTGTTATCGGAAATAAATAGTTTTCGTCATAATCTGGTTGGGTCTGATTGCTTATGCGGCGGTTGTTTATAACAGCTGTTGTTGGAAATAAATAGTTTTTAATTCCAGGTGTTAAGTGCAAACGCCAATTTCCTCTTACTAAAACATTATAAGAATTTCTTTCTATTTGATTAGCCTCGTATATCGGTAATTGAATCAACACGTCACTTGCATTACAAAAGAAGTCCAGTTTTTTTCTACTGCTCCATGGTGGAACTTGCACACTCTCATATTCTTGCATACTTTCATCTTCTTGGTCTTCGAGTGGGGGTTCTCGGTTTCTATAAAATGCTGCTAAAGCTAACCCAGCAAGACCTGCAAGACCTGCAAACAGCCAACCTGAATATCCTGATATCGGCATGATTTATGTTAACAAGACAGCATTTCTTCAAATGTGCCTGATGGTACCTAAAAAAAGAAGTGTAACATTATTCATGTTCAGTTAAAAGACTTTTTGAAACTTTTAAAGGTCAATACTAGCTTATTTAGAGTTGCATTTCACAAGTTGTACTATAACACTGGTAAGTATTTTTTATTCTATTGTATGCCTGTCTAGAATTTAAACTTTTTCTCTTCACGCTGCTAAAAAAGATTCAAAAGTCAAAGCGTAATTTCGACTAAAGGAGAAAACTAACAAATAGTTTCCGGGACTAAAAGAGGTAATCACGTGAAAAACAACTTTCCTTTGCATACATAGTATAGACAAATTTCTTTGAAACACGTTTATTATATATTGCTTTGTGATGCTTCATATTTTGTATGAATTGACCGAGCACAGGACACAATATCATTAATCTGTACAGTTCTGCTGACAGAATTCCTTGAGCTGGAGAAAGCTTTTTATCCCATACAAGCATGAGGTGGAATGGGCCCTGGTAGATACATTTACTCTGAATTCATTCCTGTAAGGAACGTATCAAGCTTGCTAATAGAATATGGGTGTTGCTAGTCAGGTGTCCTCTCTTTGGCACCTGAGGTATCTCACCATCAAAATTAACCCCGAAAATCGCCATATGGCTCTGATAGAAACACCTACCTCACGCACATTTAGAGATCACAACTACTCGGCCATTATGTCCCATAAAATTACTCGCAAGTTTTTATAATATTTCAAATACAATGCAAGTCATGAGCATATACTTGACATGCTCCAATAATATTTAGGGTAGAAAACCCCTAATGGGCATTATAAGAAACTGTAAAATTGACAAATAGGACAGTTATATACCTTAAATGTCACCTGTATGCAAAATTTAAACAAAATTTACCTTGTGGTTTATGAGTTATGGATATTTTTCATAACTAAAACTTTGCCATTAGAAGGGCTTTTTCAGAAATGAGGAAACTCTAAATAATCTATAATATCATCATTATGAAAAATGTTTTTCTATTGCTCATTGTTAAGAAACAAATAATGACATTTAGGTAACAAATTAAACTAGCAAAATGATTGTTTTTAAACGAAATGTTTTTAATATGTATAAAAATGTAACCCTACCACACACACTTTTAACACTTATTTGACCATTTCCCTATGTAAAAAGCCTTATTTAAAATATCCCTTAAATTTCCCACAATGAAGGGCTGTTTCCAAAGTTTGCCTAAATTTTCTTTAATGTATATTGGTCGGTCTTGCAAAATATAAAATATTTTTGCCTTGTAGTTTTTATTCTATTAAACTCTGAAAATATCTGGTATCATATTTGCTATTAAATTTTGCATTATTTAGTAAATAAATACCAACAATATTATGTAATTAAAATGAAACACTTTTTTCTTCCATTAGGGATCTGAGAGATTAATAAAGAACGTAAAAAAGAAAGACAAAAATTGTCCCTTCTGGGGTTTGAACCCACGCCCCTCAGTTTCAATACACTTTACAGTGATTCTAGCCTATTTGAATACTCTTCAAAGTGGAGATAGTGCATTAGGGGTGTACTACCTTAATCGCCCCTCACAAAATATCTGGAAAACGAGTGATCCCGTGAAAGCATAAATCACAACAAAATGACATGAAAATTGCAGACTCGGTTTGAATGAGTCTGTATATGAGAGATAATGAAAAAGTGTAACATCCCTCAAGTCCCCTAGCACCGGCTTGGGTTGTACTCGATTTTCAAAACTTAAAAGTGCTTCAATCAATGATCCCGAAGGACCGAGAATATATAACAAAACTGAAATGAAATACGGTGCAACTTTGTACAGCTGCCACACGGCACTTCAAACCTGCTGTTTGGTGCATTAATATCTGGAAAACAAGTGAACTTTCGAAAGCATAAATCACAACAAAATAACATGAATATTGCAGAATCGGTTTGATTGACGGATTAACTCAAATAACACACCTCTTTTATTGTTCGTAACAGGTAGACCTGTTAAATAAACAAAAGAAATGATGCCGTTCTTTCAAGACCAGACGCGTGCACGTGTACAGGAAAGATCTCAAAACGGATTTTTTATTGGTTTATCAGGTATTATCCGTAAAATATAGATCTGTCACAAACAACATACGATGTGTGTATTACAGTAAAAGAATGAAATAAAAGAAAATGAAATTAAACAAAAAATTGTATATGATTTTCCTTATCTTCCTTCATGAAAAAAAACGGATAAAAATTGTAAACGAGATAATGTTTGATTATATTCAATTACCATTTTTTCTTATGTTTTTAATAAAAATCAAGGACACTCTTTAGATTTATTTAAACTCGTTATTTTCAAAGTTATAATCTAAACAGTTATTTAGGCATTAAAGATCAGTTGCGTGCCAGTTTTTTATATTTGACAAATTGATCATATAGGGAACAAACTTAAATTACTAGTAATTTATTTTTCATAATGTAAGCGTAAAATTATCGACACGTGCCTTAGCATAACCCTTACTTAGTCCGGCAGATGTAAGTGTTGCTGTCTGTTATGCAGCTGCGACCTCAAACCGAAAGGGACGTACATATATCCCTTTGTTAAATATTGATAGTTCATAATAACGATATTTTGCTGCATTTCTCGCATTTGCATTTACATTTACGTTTAAGTTATGAACTTAATAAAATAATTAGCTGATGGTGATCCATTTGTGTCAACTATTAACTCAAACTTCGACGTCCTTAACCCTTGTGCATAACAGAGAAAAACGATTTGTTAAACAAATGAAGTGAATAAATTAATGGAAAAGGTAATTGAACATTACTTACATTTTTATATCCAAAATAAAAAATATCGCTTTACTCTCACATACTAGTAAGTATTTCTTATAAATCTATAGCTAACTGATCGGTAAACCAGATGTTTTTTAGCTCACCTGTCACAAAGTGACAGGGTGAGCTTTTGTGATCGCTTTTCGTCCGTCCGTCCGTCCGTCCGTAAACTTTTGCTTCAAATGACATCTCCTCATAAACCACTAAGCCAATTTCATCCAAACTTCACAGGAATGTTCCTTTGGTGGTCACCTTTAAAAATGTTCAAAGAATTTAATTCCATGCAGAACTCTGGTTGTCATGGCAACCGAAAGAAAAAACTTTAAACATCTTCTTTTAAAGAACCCCAAGAGCTAGAGCTTAGATATTTGGCATGAAACATCTTCTAATGAGTGTCTACCAAGTTTGTTCAAATAAAAGCCCTGGGGTCAAAATTGGCCCAGCCCCAGGGGGTCATTGATTTTCCCTATATGCATATAGTAAAAACTTAAAAAAAATTCTTTTAAAGAACCAAAAGAGCTAGAGCTTAGATATTTGGCATGAAACATTTTCTAATGAGTGTCTACCAATTTTGTTCAAATAAAAGCCCTGGGGTCAAAATTGGCCCCGCCCCAGGGGGTCATTGATTTTCCCTATATGCATATAGTAAAAACTTAAAAAATCTTCTTTTAAAGAACCCAAAGAACTAGAGCTAAGATATTTAGCATGAAACATCTTCTAGTGAGTGCCTACCAAGTTTGTTCAAATAAAAGCCCTGGGGTTAAATTGGCCCTGCAACAGGGGGGGGGGGGGGGTCATTGATTTTACCTATATGCATATAGTAAAAACTTAAAAAATCTTCTTTTAAAGAACTCAAAGAGCTAGAGCTAAGATATCTAGAATGAAACATGTTCTAATGGGTGTCTACTAGGTTTGTTCAAATAAAAGCCCTGGGGTCAAAATTGGCCCTGCCCCGGGGATCATTGATTTTCCTTATATGTGTATAGCAAAGAATAAAAAACTTCTTTGAAACTAGAAATGTGTCCATAGGACACGGGTGCCCCCACCGCGCCACTGTTCTGTCAATCTTTTTACTAAGTCAAGGGAAATTACTCTACAAATACTGGATAAATCCACAAGCGAAACCCCAGGTGCAAATCTAAATATGCTGAGCAACCTGCCCATAAGGTGTAATGACTATGTCTAATCCTTTTTGAGTAACTTGCAACACAAGTTGAAAATTGCAAAAATTGCAATAACTCTGAAAATACTAAAAACATCCAGACGAAAATACCCAGGTGCACAACAACACATGCTGATCAACATTCCTGTAAAGTTTCATGACTCTAGGTCAAATACTTTTTGAGTTACATGCGACACAAGTTGAAAATTGCAAAATTTTACTAAGTCAAGGGCAATAACTCTGAATATACTAAAAATATCCACACGAAAATACCCAGGTGCACAACAACACATGCTGATCAACATTCCTGTAAAGTTTCATGACTCTAGATCAAATACTTTTTGAGTTACGTGCGACACAAAAGTGAACGGACGGACGGACGGACGGAAGGACGGACAGACGGACGGACGGACAAGGGTAAATCTAAATGCCCGCCACTAACGTGGGGGCACAAAAATCCCAAATAGCTACAGTTTAGATATTAAGCATGAAACATCTTCTAGTGAGTGTCTACAAAGTTTGTTCAAATTAAAGCCCTGGTGTCAAAATTGGCTCCGTCCCGGTGGTCATTGATTTCCTTATATGTGTTAAAAAATCTTCTTTGAAAAAACCCAAGTAGCTAGAGTTAGATATAAAGCATGAAACATCTTCTAATAAGTGTCTACAAAGTTTGTTCAAATAAAAGCCCTTGTGTCAAAACTGGCCCCGCCCCAGGGGTGGCATTGTTTTTAACTATATGTGTATAGTAAAACTTAAAAAATCTTCTTTTAAAAAACCCAATGAGCTAGAGCTTAGATGTTTAGCATGAACATCTTCTTATGGGTGTCTACCAAGTTTGTTCAAATAAAAGCCCTTGGGTTAAAATTAACTCGGGGGGGGGGGAGAAGGTCATTGTTTTTCCTTATATGTGTATAGCAAAAACTTAACATCATGAAACATCTTCTAATGGGTGTCTTAATTCCAAGTTTGTTCAAATAAAAGCCCTGGGGTTTAAACTGGCCCCGCTTCGGGGGCCTATATACAGGTGAGCGACCTCAGGGCCATCATGG